TATTTTTCAGTGCTTCAGCGTAACCACCCAAGTAACCCTACTATTGACCCTCGACCCAACTACCCTTTCCGATTTGAGCTACCTGAAAAGGATGAAGATTGGCCCATTTTGAATGTTACTCCGTAAATGAATAATTCTGTACAAAAATTTAAAAAAATATTTAAAAAAAACATGCAAAATAAATTTAAAAATGATTTTTTTGTATAAATTTTTTATTTCGTATAGTTTTTGTAATTATTTTGTATTTCGATCTTGTATTTTATAATTTTTGTATAAAATTTTTGGCTTTATTTTTTTGCACTTTTTGGTGATAGAAAGATCGAAATTACGAAGACGAAGACATTACTCATTCATTTTCAGTGCTGTAAAAATCATAAGGTATTAATTATATAAAAGTGTTTTTCATGAAATTTATTTGAAAGCGAAAGACACTCAAGTGTTACACCACGTTTACGCCATTATTCTAAAAATCATTCATCGAATATTTGCAAAAATGAGTGCTTCTCGTCCTCTCTTTATTAGCGATTAATTGCTAATTAAATGTTTGATCTTTCAGACGAATTTAATAACGTATGAGTGGTAAGCACCCGTGATCAGTTAATATAAATAAACTTATGTCGAGTCTTGATCGTCGTACTTCAAACCAGAATTGCATTGACAGTTTACAGAATTAGAATTAGCTGTGTACTAGCATCAAGTATAGCATGCAGTGATATTTGCAAGTTTTCGCGTCAGTTACTTAGCATTCTGAATCATTTTATTAATAACAATTCTCACTCAATAAGATAAAGTGCAAGAATAAGCGAGAACAATTATGATTTTATCAAGTCAGAGTGATTAGAATAGGAACTCTAAAAATCCTGCTGCACAGTAAAGTATTATCTCGGATTATGTAGCAAGACCTCCATTGTTACGCTGTGATCTAAAATCAGAAGAATGCTAAAATCAAATTTGGTATGAAAATGATAGGTATGCTAATATGCTAGTGGCATTTTCAGTTTTTTAGAGCTGATTAACTATAAACGAAAAGTAATGATTCAGAAAGAGTGTTACATCTGGCACAAGATCATTTCGTAGTTCTCGTAATGATGTAAACGCGATATTGACAATTATTTGAGTTAGTAGAACTTTCAGAGTTTATAGTTACATAATAAAATTGAGACTAATCATAACAATAATGCAAAGCATATAATATGATATCACTCGGTTTTGGCAGTGTGAAAACAAAAACACGTGTACTATTATTTTCAAATTTAAAAAATAAATGCAGACGCTATTGCTTCTTTTAAAAGTCGTATTCTGGTAGATCTCCGCGCCTCGCTACACTTTCCATATCTTGAATTACAGTACGTGGTTAAAATTTTTAAAATTAAAAAGTTTAGTAAAAAACTACAAGTAATCATGCAACCATTTTTTCTTTCTATAACAATTCTAATAAATTCTGGAATTTTAGGAACATACCCAGCTGCTCTTGCTGACAAGTTGCCCCGAGGTATCCAGGAGCACAGGTACACTGACCAGAAACTCTATCACACACTGCTCCATTGTAGCATTCACATCGTTGTTCACAATGCTTTCCATAGCGTCCCGGTCGACATGCTCAAATTAAGGACGAAATAAGAATAATGATTTTTAAGACTTGCCGTCATTTTGATGCATTAAATACAAAAGCGTAAAGCAGTTTTTCATACTTATTTTACATTAAAAAACTTGAACTTTTCATATCCAATGCAATGCTCGTCCTTCATTTTAAAAAACCTAATTTTCTACTTTCTATTTTGATATCAAGCATTATTGCACTCAATAAAAAAATACCTTGCTTGCAATTAGCGCCAGAAAATCCCAATGGACAGTCACAAAGGCCAGTTTTGGGATCACATCGAAATTCACCGCAATTGCACTTTAACTGACATTGTAGACCAAAAGTATTATTGGTGCAAAGCTGTTCACACTAAAAACCATTTTAAAAAAATCAATTAATAAACACTCTGAACAAATAATGGTCACAGTTAATTCTGAAGACATGAATGTTGGATATTAAGTTATGCAAAGAATTTTTGACCAGCAACTTATCAGTTTCTATTTTATAAAACCATTTCATAAAAGCAATAAATGTGCACCTTCTTTTTACTACTTGATCTTATTTCAATCACGAGCGCAAAGCAAAATTATTTATTGCCAGCCTTCAGTGATATGTGTAACAAAAAACGCAAACTTGTGAAACGTTTGGAATTACTATGAAATTCAGAGTACCTTTTCGCCAAAATATCCGGGTGGACATTGGCAGCGGCCAGCATATGGATCGCACAAGGCACCATTTTGACAATCACAACTTTGAGAACAATACCAACCATAAAAACCTGGGGGACATGCTGAAGTATGTCAAAATTTAGAATGGCCTGACTACAAATCTCTTTTAATCATATTACAAAAATACACTAATTATAAAATGTTGATTTCTGCCTTTAGCAATTGCTTACCAAACAACAAAATTCGATCACAAAAGTCGAAAAAACTCACTATACTGACAGCGAGTACCAAAACGTCCCGAAGGACAGTCGCAACACCCTTGCACAGGATCACACTTAGCATTACCTTCACATTCACAGTCCAAAGTGCAGTTCAGACCATATTTGCCTTCAGGACATGGCAGATCACATGTTTCGCCTGTGTATCCTAATGAACATCTGAAATTACTTAACACTGGTAATAACTGAAGCTTTACTGGAAATGACATCAAACTATGTCGAATGCCTTTGAGTGATTAATTACATTGATGCACTACAATTGGTGCCTAAATTTATGGAGCTTGAATTACTATTTGTAACTTCAACAGAATACAGCAGCGCAATCTCCCATACTTGCATTTTCTTCTAGAATAAACTTGAGCACTTGAGAATAGTAATCATTGTAGCAACCTGCAATCACCAGTAACTGGATCACAATGAGCCTGATTAGCACAGCGACACTTTTCCCGACAGCCTGGACCAAAGCGCCCTTCAGAGCATCTTTGCCGACATCTTATGCCGACAAACCCTGCTTCACAATGACACTGCCCAGTTACTCGATCACAAGTGCCATTATTTTCACACTGGCAAAGTTCTGCACACTTTTGACCGTATCGATTTGGCGGACAGGGCACTTCACACTTGGCGCCAACAAATCCTGGAGGACAGGCACACTGTCCTGTAGCACTATTGCAAGTTCCACTATTTTCGCATTGACAAATATTTTCACAATTCATGCCATATCGTCCTTGGATACATCCTGAAGTCAATTAAACATAGAAAACTTGCAATATATTAATATAGGCAAAAATAGTTATCAATTACAGTTAATAATTTTAATTTATCAGCATGCAATTGTGCACCACATGAACACAAATCAAGATTAAATAAATAATATGCAATGATTTTCAGCATTGAAAGCAATTTTGTAAAAATAACCTTTGTAACAAAGCATTAGCAATCACCTTGAGCACAGTCCAGACCAGCGTAGCCTGGCTTGCAGAAGCACTTGCCCGTAAGAGGATCGCAATCCGCGTTAGGAGCACAATCACATTGTTGCGCGCAATTCTCGCCGAATTTACCAAGAGGACAAAGTTCAGTGCAATAATGACCAGCATATCCTTTGGGGCAATGACATCGACCTGTGATGTGATTACACGCTCGCTGATTTGGACACTGACATGCCGAAGCACAGTGCTCTCCGTAATAACCTTTGAGGCACGCTGAATTAACTTGTCTTTGCTAGTTGAGCTCGTTGAATTGCTTTGCAAACAAACGTCACAGCAACTTAATCCTATTCATTATCAATATAGCGCCATTTTCTGGTTTTATGAAATAAGAAGCAGTAAAAGTAACACGTACGTCTATTGCATTTTCGACCTCTCCAACCTGGAGCACAGTGGCAGTAACCTGTGACTGAATCGCAACTTGCACCATTCTCGCACGAGCATAATTCTTGACATTTGTCTCCATAAAAGCCGTAAGGACATCTTTCTTCGCATCTGAATACTATTCACATTACACATTTAACTGTTTCGTTGCAACTTAAAATGCTTATTTCGATGTCAAAGGAATCAACAAGTTTTAATTTGAAACTAGATCTTGGCAATAAATTAAACATACCTTTCCCCTGTAAAACCTGCTAAGCAGTAACATGTACCATCTGTAGTACTGCATCTTGCACCATGCTCGCAATCACATTTTTCCTGACAATTTACGCCATATCGTCCAAAAGGGCACGCTAGAAAATACCAACAATTATTATGTAAGATACTTAATTATAAAAGTAAAAAAAAATTATGGATTACTTTAAGCAGTCAACCAAAACAGCATCAAAGAAAATCTCACTCCTATAATTATGCTGACTTTGAAAACTACATTACATTTTTCAGAAACTGATAAAATCATCTGAAAATTCGAAAAATCATGCGAAAACAATTCTTTTCAGAGATCAATAATTGTTACTTACTGAATTCACAAGATGGCCCTGACCATCCAGCAGCACATTTACAAGTACCATTTTTAGAATCACAAGTGCCATTGTGCATACAAAGGCAGTAGTTGTTACAATTAGTTCCATAAAAACCCGGTGGACATTCTAAAAAGAAAACAAGCCTGTAAACATAAATTAAATTATGCAAAAATTGTCTTTTAAAATTTCAACAAATTCTGCTGTACTTGTTAATAATACAAACAACTTGTAAATTCAAAGTGAGAACTAACCTTCTTCACAATGGCGTCCCATGAATCCAGCCGCACAATCACAATGTCCCGTCTTTGGGTCGCATTTTCCACCATTCATGCACAAACATTCTTCAGCGCACTCAATTCCCCATCTGAAACTATTTGTCGCAATCACTAAAACAGCAACCAGCAGAATGTGATTTCC